CCCCATCCCTACTCCAAAAACTTCCTCCAAAGCCTAGAAAACACTTTCAGAAACATTTGCTGGCTGCAGGCTGGCTTGCAGAAGCCCAAACACTCTGTTATCAACAGAAGTCAGGAAAAAAAGGCTGAACAATGTAGTTTCAAGTGAAGAAACCCTGTAGGGAGAGAAAAGACCATGGAGAGACACCACCACCCACCTAGGCCCCAGGAGCTAGGAGCTCTCCTGAGCCCTGCTGTGCTGAGGGCTTGGTTCTGTTTAAAAACACACGTCCTCTCTGGTCAAAACTTAGTCCAGCTTTCCCAGAACCTCTTTGGAGAGGAAAACTTGCCTGCTTTGCTGTCTGCCATGAGCTCTCCTCAGAGAGGAGCCTGCTTGCTCACCTTCCATTTTCTTCCCCCAGCAGGCATGTGACACAAGAGAAGACAATAGTGCAGGGGGGAAACTGCTCAGAGAGAGAGAGAGAGAAAGAGGAGGAAAAAAAAAAAAAAAAACAGCTTCTTTTTTGGCATACCAGGATCTATCTTCAAACTATTTCAGAAACACCATGTCCTGGTGGAAGAAAAGGTGTGCCAGGCCCTTGCCAGTTTGCAAAATCGAGCTATGGCTAATGGCTACTTAGCCATGTGACCCAAGAAAGCAAAAAAATTCTCTCTAAACAGTTCCAAGTTAACCTAAGTGCTGTGGGGGTGAGTGTGGCACGGCCAGCCACAGAGAAATCACACTGCTCGCCCACAATTCGGATGTCTCAGAGGGAGGGGGAGAAAAGATGGTTAAAAAGTCGAGCTTACCTCTGTGGATGCATTGTTAACACTGTGTAATGTCAATACTTATAAAACATGGAGGACAGGCTCCTAGTTCTCACAGAAAAAGGGTTTGGCACTTCGGCTTGATGATCTGGCCGCCTAATAAGAGCTCATCCCCGATTGGCTGGCCCGGCAAATCGGAGTGTAAGGCGGCCCGGGATTGGCTGAAACACTTCCTGAGCGATTATCTTTGTGAGGCTCTGGTGAGCAAGAGCCATCCTGTGCATAGAAAAAGACAGGCTAAGCTAGGCCTTTTGCAGCAAGAAAAACTTGGGAAAGGGGCCCCCGCACGCACTTCTCCCCCACCCTGGCCAGATTTCCCAGCACGGGCAAACCAGTGCAGCCAGCCTGACCTGCTCCAGCAAAGCCCGAGGCCCAGATGCCACTGGGAAGAGAGTTTTTGGGGTGAGCTGACAGGGCTCACCCTCACTTGCCCCCCACAGAAGCGGCTCTCTGCTAGGAGGAAGGCTGGCCCTTTTCTAGAACAATCCAGCAGAATGGTTCACCCGGGGAGAGGGGGGGAGCTGAGGAGTGGGGAGCCCCAGGAAATGGGCCAAGGGGGCAGGAGAAAGGGGCTGGAGGCAGGCCTCTGGGGAGCTGGGGGGCAGACAGACAGGACAGGCGAACCCCAAGAAATCGCTAAAGAGCAGCCCTGGCTTCTCAGAGCACAGAGGCTCGGGCTGCAGAGGGGAGGAGGGGAGCAGAGTGGTCAAGTTTGCATAGTCATTGTCAAAATGCCTCCTGGAAAAGCAGGCCAGAGAGCCATCCTCGCGGCACAGACTCTGTCCTCTCAGCCCCCTCAGCCAGGACGCAAAGGAAAAACCAACATGGGTTCCTGCCTCCCTGCCAGGATGCCAAGGGGCGGCCCCCCTCTCCGTCCTTACCCTAAGAAAAGCCAAATGCGCTCCTAGCAGGCCACATGCCTAGATCTACAAACTTCCCTTCCCCTCCCGGCCCCCTCCCCCACCGCCGCCGAGGCCTGCTAAACCTGTCAGTTAAACAAAAATCTGACTTCCGTATTAGCCTGCGATGCCTTCAGCTTCCTGCCTATTAACCCTCTCTCGGACTCTGGGCCTGGCTGGGAAGGACTAGGCCCCGAGAGCGCAGAAAAGGCCTGTGGAAAAATACCAGCTGCAGCTCCCCCGGCAGATGCAGAAAGAGAGAGAGAGAGTGAGCCGCTGTCTCTCGCCTTTGCTTCCCAAGGAGGCGTGTACCTTCTGAATCCAGGGCACAGGCAGTGCCTCTCGGTCTGAGAAGCCATTTAAATCCAGAGGGAGAAAGAAAGAAAGATGTCAAACTCGGGGAGGGAACAAGAACCCCCATTATTAGTCAGGCATACACCCACTGCTTAGCCCTTCCTGTCACAATCACCCCTGTATGTATGTGCTTGGGGAGCTGGGCCCTCGGTGGGCAGACAAATCCCATGGGCTTTATAAGGATTCTTTCGGAAATTTATTTCCACAGAGGACGGCTTCTTTTCGTCCCCGAAGGCAGATGGAACAGCTATTTCACACACAGCTCTATACTTGCCAGCTCCCCCCCCCCCCCCCCCCCCCCCCCTCCCCAGTAAAATATTAACTAGTTTTTCAGAGCTGCTTATACTTCCACCCATTTCAATAGTAGTAGGTGGTCTTTGCCTGTTTGCGCCCCAAAGCTGCCTTTGTAGTTGGTCTGCACTCTGGGAAGAAAAAGGCAAACCCAAAAGGATCTCAAAATGCCCATGCTTGCTTTCCTTCCTCTTCAAGACAAGCTGCTTAATTAACAAGATTTATTTTAAAACGGCAAGTGGAACGACGGAAGCTAAGTAAACACCATTCTTTAGAGGCTGGAGAGAGCTTCCAGAGGTGAGGCAGCCATATTCCAGGAGGTAAAACTACGGTCCAATCAAGGATCCTGACTCTTCTGAAATTAGGACTCTTGGGCTTTCTTTGCTGTCCCACGCCATTCGTTCCCACAAAGAAAACAGAGCTGATGGCTTGCTCTCCCTGCCCCCACCCCCTAGACCCCCCACCCACACACACACAGGGACAACAAATGCCCACCAAGTGTACATCAATTCTTCCTGCTGGGGAGCCTTCTATTAAGCAGCAACAAGCCAGGAATCCACACATACAGTACTGCAGGGACAGGGCCCAGGCTGTATGAAAAGGGAGGGGATTTTGTTGCTGTTGTCCTTGTATTTTAGGCTAAAGAGGCCAAGATGCAGGGAGAACCAGCCCTCAGGACAACAAGCCTGGGCCTCACCAGAGAAAGGAGGGGCCTGCTCTTCCTGGGGTAGGAAGCTCACTCTGTCTGTACCGGGAGACCAAATGGGGGACAAGAGTCGTAGGCCAGAGCTAATCAGACTGTTTCCTCCACCACCGTTCCATGGGGAATACTGTTTGTCTCTTCGGTGCTACTTTTTTTTGGGGGGGTAAGGGGGGAGGCACAAATACGACTGGGTTTGTGATGAATCTTGTGTGCAGCTAACTTCACGACCCAATGAGGAAATGAAATATGTCACTGGTGCCGCGTGGTGGATTTTAACCAGGGATTAAAGCTTGTTGCATAAGCAGCTGCAGCATCCTCCCCCTCCCTCCCCTCCTCTCTCTGATCACTTGATCACTTGAAATGTTTTCTGGGGCAAAGAGCAGGAAGCTGCAGGCTTATTCTGGCAGCTCTGCTCTGTTTGAGGAATGCTGTTGGCATTCAGGTAGATCTGAGTTATCTGGAAAACAGCATTTGGGCTGGGGACAGTGACAAAGGTATAGTGGCAGATGGAATCCTGGGCGAGTGACGGATCAAAAAGGAAGCCCAGGGCAGGCCCACTAAGGGCCATTCCTGGGCTTGATGGAATGTGGCTGATAAGAGGTCCTCCCAGTGCTGCTGGCCTGTGTCTAGAGAGCATTCCCTGGCCCTCCTCAAACCCTCCCTGCACACGGAGGGGTCCTGGCAGCTACCAAATGCTCCCACTGAGCCAGGCCCTGGGCTAAATCAGCACTTTCCACAGACTGGCTCCAGGAGGCAGGGAGCATGGTTGCAGACGTGGAAGTGAGCCCAAAGACGTGAAGTGAGCTGCCCAAGGTCACACAGCTGGCAAGGGCCAGAGACCAGACTTCCAACCCGGTTAGGACTCCACATCGCTAAACCCTGTACCTTCACTTGCCTCTACAGAAAGAAAAGAAAAGCATATGGTCAGTGTTTTCTTTAAGGGGTCAGCTCCTTTGACCATGAGTTTTAAGTCCTGAATGATACAGTTGGGAGAATTTTAGATCAGACTCACCAAAGGCCCAGAGAAACCTCCTCTCTCCCTACAGACCTTCAGCAAGATTTCAAGGGAGTCGCTTTGCCGTCTCTAAAATCAGGCTTTTATATTCCTTGAAATCAGTGATTCTCAACCAGGGGTGGTTTTGTCCATCCCCACCCCGCCCCGCCCCCCCTCCCCGGATATGTAACAATGTCTGTAGATTTGGCAGTTATCACTATCTAGTAGGGATGCTGCTAAACATCCTACAGCGCACAGAACAGCCCCCCAGCACGGAATTATGTGGTCCAGCCATCCCATTGTGCCAAGGTAGGGAATCCTTGGCTGAAAGTAAAAGGAAGAAAAAAATCCAACCATTGTGCCTCTGGATAGAAAAGCCAGCACAGGCCTAAACAAGCAGGTTCCGTGGTGATATTAATAAGCAATGAGCTAATAGAAATAGATTAAGCCTGTCTCTCTTCATATTCCCAGGGGACGGAGAGAATCGGGGGACAGAATCAGGCAGAAGGAAGCCAGGCAGAGCCCCGGTGATAAAGCTGGTCTCCCAGGAGAGGAAGGGCTGGCCCCAGCTCCCTTCCCCAGGCACCCTCACTAGCGGCGGCCTGGCCTCCCCGACATGGCTCTCCACTGGGCTGGCCCGCAGCCAGGCCAGCAGCAGGAGGAGCGGCCTGGGCAAGCTGCAGCCCGAGATAGCCTGTTCGGCTGGCTATGAAAATAAGCACCCACGGAGTTATCGGCCTCAAGCTCGCAGCAGGCCCCTCGGTCCGTTATGGGAAACGTGGGGATCGAGGCAAGGAAATGGTTTAAATATCTTGTTTTGTTTTGTTCCTTTCAGCCAATTGGAACTGAGGCCCACTTCAGGCACGGTGACAGAAGGGCTCACCTTCAGAAGAAGGAGTCATGTTACAGCCGCAGAGAGGCAGTTAGGACGCCCTACCTTGGAGAAGAGTCCCCTGGAAGGTCTTTTTTTTTTTTCCCCCACTTCTTTCTAGGAGGGACTGGCAGGATTAGGCAAATGGAGGGAGAAGGGAAGGGCATGGGGGGATGGTACATCAACCAGACAGATGGCCACAGTGTGTGGGGAGAGATGGAAGGGATGCAGGAACAAAAGGAAAATGAAAAGAAAGATGATCCGGACCTCCACTTCCCTGCAGTTACTATGGAAGGAAGAGCACGTATCTATTTGCTCTGTTAGTTTCTATCTCCCGCTAGACCCGTGGCAGTGGCTGGAGACGTTGCCACATCCGGAGGAAGGGTGCCCTTCTACATCCAGGGTGGAGACCAGGGATGCTGCTGAACAACTG